TTCCAAAGAGAAGAGTTCTGAGTAACTCATCTGCAAAAGGAAAATACATAGCCTACCACAAATATAGCAGTTCCAAAGTCTTTTCCATTAAAAAAAAATAGGAATCTATAAGCCACTAACTAGTCTACATTTTAGAGCACGTGAACAAATTCAAATGAACCATTCTACTGAGAAGTGGGGCTCAGTTCTGTAGAATTCAGTTGGTTTCTAACTTAAAATGAGGCAAACATCCTACCTCCTGAAATCTGTGCACCATTCAACACCATAGTTTCTCCAGCTTTGCCCAGAGAAACATGAAGTGATGAGCTGGCCTGACCCCCAGCTCTGCATGGCCCTGTCTCACTGTGAGCTACAACAGGGCTGGTGTCACACTCAGCCTTCAGAACCTGAGTCCAGCAGGTTGTTATTGATGGCCAAACCAAATTAAACCATAAACTTACTACTTACACATTACCCAAGATTTTTGGTATACATGCCTTTTTGATCTATGTAGTATTTTGTTTTTAAATTTCAACTTTCATAGCTTAACTCTATAATTACATTTTTAGTAACTATCATGCCAAATCTTTTTTTGAAGCAAGAAAAGTAAAGTATGTCTCATTTTAAAAGTCAGAAGACAATACAAGTAAAAATGCTTAGAGACCAAGTGTTGTGTATTCATGAGCACAACTTCTATTATTAACTGAGTGAGTGGCCTCCAGTCATTTAAATATTGAGGGCTTAAAAACCCTTTCAAATGATTAAACCACCTTCTACTTTTTATCTATCAAGTTTGGAGAGTCAGTCATTAGAAAATACAAAGTGTTTCCCGAGAAAAGTTTGTTTTGCAGTACAAATAACTAAATAACTAAAGGTAGGGCAACTGAAAAAATTATTAAAGTTATATATATTTTTTAAAGCAATGATACAAATTTGAACTATTTATTTTATCAATATTGCCTATTCTGCAGAACAACCAAATCAATTATGTGAACCAAGTTAAACTTTTATACAAAATACAGTTTATATAGCCAATATCTCAAGGTAAGAAAGAAAACCAAAACTTTCATAATTACCTGGAAAATTGTGGAGAAACCCATCAATATATCTTTGAAAAATGTTTCAACATTTGGAAATGTGTAATTCAAAAAATAGTCATTGGACAGTTCAAAATAGCTGGACAGATCTTAAGTAATCCCATGCAATTTTAACTTTTAAAACACATTGACTTCACAGAAGATTTAGCAGGATAAGTCGGATAGGTAAAGAAAGCACTTGTGATGAGAAAAAGAACATCCCAACAACTGTGAACTTTCAAAGGGTGAATTTTATGGGATGTGAATTACCTTCCAATTTTAAAAAAAAAGAATTTAAAGGAAAAGGGCATCATGAGTGTTGTTTAAGTTCTACAGCCAGAATCTCCTGGTCATCACCTCTGGAAACACCTTCACTATAGCTTGCTTTCTGTTTCTACTTCTCCTTCTTTGCCCATGTGGCATCATGTAATATTGCACAGACTTTGAATTTCTCATGCACTCCAATGGTTTATAGGCAAAATAAATTTAACTTAACTTTCTGAATCACCCTCTCATTGATTCGGTACTTCCAATTTCCTCTGTCTCATCTTCATTTTTTTGAGGGGGAGGTGGAATTTTGATTCCACAAAGCTTTGACTAATAACAAGTTCTCTGAGACAAAAAGAAAGGTACTGAATATTTAACCATTTATATATATAAAACTCTAACATGGAAATAGACCGAACTGTGGAACAACCTAACAACTGGTCGCTATGACATGTGCTGATCACGAAGGGGCATGTGCGGAACATGGTAGCCATCAGCAGGAGGTGGCAGAGTGCAGAACATAGTGGGCATTGGCTGTGGTGGTATGGTGAAGCAGGTGAGCAGGGGTGCCAGACCAATATTAGTCACTGTCATTGGGGTGAGTCTTTGGTGATTACTGAAAATTCTTTGCTCTCACACCCTCTGCCAGCACCGGAGCCACTGCTTGCACCTGCTGCTGGAGCCGCCACTTGCACCCACTGCCGGTGCTGACCCTGCTCACATCCATTGCCAACTCCTGGTGCTGGTTCCAATCACCCTTGAGGGCTTCTCCACTTCCCCCTGTTCCTGAGGGGTGATCGGGGCAGTAGCCGCCACTTACACCAGCTGACAGTGCTGGCTCCACTCATACCCACTGCTGGCACAGCCCCAATTGCTCCACGCTGTCAGCGGGCTCAAGCAGGGCTGGCAATGATGGTGGGAGAGGGGCTGCCGGCAAACAGGGAACTATTGGCTGCAGCAGGAGGGTTTGGGTGGGGGTAGGGAGAAGGGCAGAGACCCACCCCTGTGCTCACTGCAGCCTAGCGGATTCACTGTTCCTTTCAAGGTACACAATTTTGTTACGTTGGGCCCCTAGTTGCTAATAAATGCCAGGGGCTCTGCTGGGCCCTGAATGTCTTTACCCTATTGTTCTCATGAATATTTCCAAGATCAAGATTCTTATTCCATCTGCAAGATGGAAACACTGAGTAATTTCCATTCAGACACCCAGTGTTTATTTAGCCAGGATATGGGTCTTTTGTTCAGAGGACACAACTTTAAAATCTGTTGGCTGAGTAGGACTAATTCAAGCCAGGGAAAACTTACTAAAACAACACAAAGTTTACAAAAAGTGGCATTGTTTGCTGGTGCATTTGAACACCACATTTTAAATAATCCTGAAGAACACTCCCATTCTAGAAGACAGGATGTTTATGCAAATGTGGTCTCCTAATAATACAAAAGAAAGGAGGGAACATACAAGACTATTTCCTACAATTCAAAATAACACACAAGCCTACCACCATGGCTCAGTGGTTGAGTGTCAACCTATGAAGCAGAAGGTCACCATTGGATTCCCTGTCAGGGCATATGCATGGGTTGTAGGATCCATCCACAGTGTGGGGATTGTGGGAGACAGCTCATCAGTGATTCTATCTCATCATTGATGTTTCTATCATCTCTCTCCCTTCCTTGCCAAAATCAATAAAAATATATTTTTATAAGTTAACAAGAAAAAATAACACAGAAACCATTCACTGGGAACCTAGGCTTATTGCCACTTTGATGGTTCCTAGGTTTGCCAGAGCAAATGTAATGGCTTTCCACTTTAATTTGGTTTGTCTCAGAGTTCCATCTGCTATCACTTCCTCCTCCCAGCAAAAAAACCAAAACAAAACAACACACACACACACACACATACACACACACACACAAACAAAAACAAAAACAAAAACAAACAAACAAAAAAACAAACACAAAACTAAGTGAGACTAATTTTGGTTGCAGAGAAAGAAGAGCTGCAGAATCTGGAGTTCTTGGTGACTCTGATGCTCAAAGTTTGCAAAATTAATGATCTCTCAACTACTGGAGTCATTGATCATTGCATGGCTAATGGTAGACCTTGGTTCTGAGAATTTCTCCTAGGCATTATCTCTTAGTATACTATTGCTCTTGGAAAAGACAACCTGGGTTCAAATCCCATGTTTACCTCTGTGACCTTAACAAGTTACATTATTTCCCCGTGCCTATTTTCTTATCTAAAAAATGGGGATGGGAACAGTTCCTATCCCATAAGGCTGTTGAGAGTGTTCAGCAATCTAATACATGTAAAGAACTAAGAACAATGCCTGGGACCTGCTGGGCTATTTAATTTCCTGTTAAATAAGTAATTCAAACCTAAAAAAGAGTATTGTTCACTAAAAATGAGTATTGTTCACTAAAAGAAATTGCTTTCCTAATAGTGTTTTGTTAGCTGATTTGTATATGCTTACTTGAATTAGAAATTGGTAAAAATTAATTTGTAAGACCTGTATTGTTTTACATAAATGCAATCAGTTAGAAACTCAGAAAGCAACAAAAAATTTCTTTTGTGGGAAAATGGGTTAAAAATGGCCTCTCTTATTGATAATATTGCCCCAAATTATTGCTGAGAGGCTCTGAAGCTGTTCATAAGACACAGACTTACTGTCACCCAGGCAGATGAGGCAGGAAGAAGAAAAAAATGGCTTTGCTTTAAACCCTCAGGGAGTAAAGGTCCAGACAGAGTCATTAACTGCCTTTGGCTACTTCAAACTCCAACAGAACAAAGACTGGCAGAACTCTGGGCTCTACAAAGAGCTTCTCCATCTCAGAAAGACAGTTTAGCCAATTAATCTATATAATAAAAGCCTAATATGCTACCCTGTTTCCCCGAAAATAAGACAATGTCTTATATTAATTTTTTCTCCCAAAGTTGCACTAGGTCTTATTTTCAGGGGATGTTTTATCTTTCCATGCACTAGCTCTTATTTTTGGAGGATGTCTTATTTTCGGGGAAACACGGTAGCTATGTGGTAGACTAGTGGGCTATTCAACCAATCAAGGTATAATATGCTAATAATATGTTAAGGCAGCTCAACTGCTCACTATGACGTGCACTGACCATCAGGGGGCAGACACTCTGACTGGTAGGTTAGCTTGATGCTGGGGTCCAGCTGATGGGGCTTGAGCGAGACTGGTCAGACATGCCCTGGAGCTCTCCTATAGTCCCTCCTTGGCTGGCCAACCTCCCACGTCTGTCCTGGTACCAATTATGCACTGGTGGGAATTTCTCAGCCTGGTCTGTGCCCTCTCACAATCTGGGGCCCCCTGGAGGATGTCAGAGAGCCAGTTTTGGCCAGATCCCACAGGCCAGGCCAGGCCAAGGGACCCCACTGGTACACAAATTAGTGCACCCAGCCTCTAGTTGAATTCATAATCATGTTTCTCTTGGAAAGAGCAAAGGATGGTTTACTCATGTAAATATTAATCATTTACTTGCAATTATGACTTTTTAAATTTTCTCCACCCAAGCTGCTCATTTCATTGTGAAGACATTGCTTTGGCATTCCCAGTGACACCACATATCTGAGAACCTCTGGACATTGCTGTATTCAGCTCACCACCCTGGAATAAACCAGCTGGAGTGACATGTTTCTTCTGGAAAAAGATCAAACTTACCCAAATAGTTGTTGCTTTTGTGCATCTCAGTGATGTTGATCTTTGTGGCTCCTTGGGGAATCTCAACAACTCGATGGTAGCCCAGGCTTGTGAGGGCGTGCTTAAACACACCTGACACAACCTGACAGCCTGTGTTATCGCCTCCACACACCCCGCATTTGTCCACCACTTTGTTGGAGCCTAAGTAGTCATCACAGCCGATGCTCTGCAAAGAGGTGGAAACAGAAGACTCTTGTAGCATTTCTCAACAGCATCCAAGGAAAGGGAAAAATGATGAAACTCTAGTAGCGGAGCTCAAACTGACCCTGCTTCAGTCCCATTTCATTCTTGCAGATGAGCAAGTTCCTGCTTTCCTTCACTCAACAGATTATCACAGAGCACCTACTCTGGGAAAGGATGATCTCTTCTAGGTATGTGTGAAATGTAAATTCTAGGGGCTGGTGGAGAAACAGTCAGTAAACAAGACAAGTAAACTAAAGAATGCATTTGGTGGTAGAAAATGACCAAGAGAAAAATAATGCAGGGATAAGGGTAGGGAGAGTGTAGGGCAACAGGCACCTATCACATAGGCTGGACAGTGAAGCTGTCTTGCAAATCTATCCCCCAAGGGACTCAGAGAGGAAAGGCAGGCCATGTTGGGGCTTTTATATAAACAAGTTCTTTGGGACCATAAGTGCTGTAATTAACACTGGGGTCTGCTCCCAAGTTTTCTGTTCTAAATGACTTGATAATACAAACATTTAGCAAAGTATGCCCAAAAGTCATGCTCTCAGGCCCAGTTTCTTAGGAAATTAAATTTGTTGATATTTGGGGTTCCATCGTTCACTGTGGCTCTGAGGAGCTGGACAGAGGACTTCTGTTTGGCTCCTCCAATGCACTTCCTCAAGGCAGAAGGGGTAGGGAAGCAGGGGCCAGAAACATTAGCAACCTGGATGATCACATCTAAATCAGGGGTGTACAAAGATGGTCCAGGCATTCTCATTAGTGTTTAAAGTGTTTAAAGGAATTCTGACTTCCAACATTTCCTCCTGAAAGAATCTCTCATTTCTCATTCCAAGATTTTTAAAAAAATATATTTTATTGATTTTGTTCAGAGAGGAAGGGATAGAGATAGAGAGCTAGGAAACATCGATGAGAGAGAGTCATCGAACAGCTGCCTCTTGCACACCCCCGACTAGGGATATGCCCGCAACCAAGGTACATGCCCTTGACCGGAATCGAACCCGGGTCCCTTCAGTCCCCAAGCCGACGCTCTATCCATTGAGCCAAACCGGTCTCGGCCAAGATTTTTTTTTGCTTTATCTTCTCAGTTCCCATTTATGTTTCTGTTGGAGCAATTTTATTTTGCATAAAAAAAGCTAAACCTTGGATCAGAATAAACAATCAGCATGGAATCCTTTTCCACTCTTGGAGCTGATGCCAGAGAGCTCACAGTGCGCTCCTAAACCCCAAATGGGAACACATGGTCTGAGCAAAGAATTCTGTCACATCTCCCCAGGCAGATGGAGTAGTAGATTGTGGCATGGACAATGAAATACTGGATGACAGAGTTATTTCACTGAGGTATGAGAATATGGAACAGTACTTGAAACCAGAATAGAATTCTAAAACTTTAGACACATGTTTGCTGAAGACAGGCTTATGTTGGTTTTTGAATTCTAACCATCAGACCTCATCTCAGGAGCAAAGTGGTCTGCAAACCATTAAAAGTACACTTCTGATCTTGTTAAACAAGCCTGGGGCTGTGCATGTGTGTCCTGCGGGTCAAATCATACAGGCAGAGTCAAGTCAGGAGGTGTTCATTCTTCCCCTCCAAGTTCACATTGACTGACATCCTTCTTTAGGCATTCCAGGTCTGCACTATTACTGCCATATTCTTGAGAGCAGTTAGTCCATCAACAATTACTAGTCTCTCTTCACAAATAGCTTCTCTGCAAAACATTATTTTTGACAATAACAGAACATCATTTCAATATGTTCATTCATATCCAATTAGCCTTTCAAAATGCAGTGTTTGCTCAAATATTTCTTGTCCCTGTCCTATGCATATTTTAGTGAGGGGAAAATGTTTTCCACACTTGATTCCACCTTCTTAACTCCTCAGTTCTCCTTTGCTTTGAAACAAACAAACAAACAAACAAAATACCACCACCAACAGAGATTCTGGCAAGTAGATCCAATGGTGCAACATCCTAACAGAATTAAGGAGTGCCTCTGTCACTGATGGGGAAGAAGGACAGAAAAGCTGATGAGCACTCTCTCCCTCCCCAGCAACATCTAATCTCCCACTTTCCCCACCAAGGGCCTATTCCCACCATGTCTTGACTATCCCAGACTGAGTTCATTCTCCTGGGGCACCCAGGTAAAGTGAACAATGCACATGATAGCATAGAGATAAGAATGAAGGCTTAGGAAGTAAAAAGTAGGAGAACATTATTCATAGACATGCTGAGAAGTAGGGTTGATGGGAGGGATGAAACAGGGCTTCAACATTCAGGTGAAGTTGTCAAGAATCTGTTTGCCAGGGTGAAGTACTAGAATTTTGCCGGATGGGATCCATAGTCACTGGATGTTTGAAGGATGGGAGGGCAATGCTCAGATTAGTTTTTCAGATAATAACTTGGGCTGTGGTGTGGTTATGTCTTTGACTGGGGATAACACACAGTCTAGCCACTGTTTTTCTCTTGTAAACAAAGGGTAGGGTTATTTCAAGAGTGAATAAGAGCTTCCAAGGATGGGACAGACAATGGCATCAATCCTCAGCCCCCAGCCCAGTTAGAATGGGGTGATCACAAGGAAAGTCCACTGCCATGTATTGCTTCAGATAACCATAGACACAGACAAAATGTCATTTATCTTGTGAATCAGACACTCTATCAAAATGCTCTGCACAGTGTAATGGATGCTCCTCCGCCATCCCCCCAGATCCCTATGCAATGCAGCCAGACACTCTGGAAGAATCTCAACTTTGAGAGGGAGGGTGACAGTTCTTCCTAGCAGACATCCAATATCCTGGAGGTTAGCTACAGGAAAGAGTATGGCCATACAAGCAATGGCAAGAACTAAAGGGGTGACATTCTGTCTCTTCAGGACCCGGCTCTGGATTCTGAATGCCCAGTGTTCACTCCTCAAAAGAGAAATCAGAAATAGAAGTATGAAACCTTTCTTGGGGGAGACAAGAGCTGACAGAGCACCCTTCTAGTGTACTAGTGATCACCCTGAATCTCTGAAAGACTGGGTTGTCATGGAATTGCCAAATGCCTCACAGGCACTTCACAAAGCAGGAGGGACAATCCTACAAGGAGAACTGGGCAGATAATATACATTCAAGATCTTTATTTTTAGGTAGTTACATACCTGACAACTGTCCCTTCTTCAGCCCAGGCCACATGTGAGAATCGGATGATATAATGAGGGGCAATTTGGACTGGGTGTCCAGGTATGGCATGGCTAAAGGAGTGATCTATGGGCCAGGACCTGAGTGACAGGAAGGACCAGCCATAGAGAACCTAAACCTGCAAACATGCATTTTTATCACTGATGCTGGGGAGTGACTACATTGGGCAGGTGAGCTAGGTAATCCCAGGCTGTATCAAACTCAGTTCTGCCTTCTGGAATTTGAGTCTAACTGGAGTAATGGGACATAAATAAGAATTTATTAAACAAGAGGAGGCCTGCATTCTCTATGTCATGCTGGGCCAGGATTTGCACTCTTTTAGAAAGTTGTTAATTAACAATGAGATACATAAAGTCTAGAGGATGTTGCAACTAGGGGAATAGTGATGGAGTGAAGAGGGTTTTAGAGACACCTAGGAAGCAAAATGGACAGGCCTTTGTGACTGATCAGTTGGAGAAGGAGCTTGAATCTTTTTCAGCACTATAATATTCACAATTATAGTTCTCTAAACATGCATTTTTCTCATTGAACCTTAAAAGCAATCTGTGATACTGCTTTTGTAGGAAAGACTTAGGAAAGAAGTTAGGGCCTTAGGAACATACCAAGATACTTAGTTTTTCCCTGGCTGGTGTGGCTTAGTTGGTTAAGCACTGTCCCAAGCATAGAGAGGTTGCAGATTCCATTCCTGGTTAGGGCACATGCCCAGGAAACGAGCTTGATCCTTCCTGCATGCAGAAGGCAGCCAATTGATATTTCTCTTCTTCCACACCCCCCTTTAAAAATCAATTAGAAATTATTTTTGAAAGCTAGTGCTGGAGTTTGAACCATAATCCCATGCTTTTAACCATTATGCAAAAATCCTCCCAACTCCCCGCCCCACCCAAGAATCAGAGGCTGTGCTGAGTTTCAGCTTTGTTAAAGGAGTGGATGGTATGGTGACTAAGTGCAGAGAAAGAAGCTCAGCACTGTTGTCACATCTCAGTGAGATCTTGGCCCAAAAGAGACTGGCATTATCCTCTTCCAATATTATGGAGCACCAACCACATACATATCTCTCCCACCTGGGCTGCTTTAACTCTGTACTTTACACATAGTGATTAAATATTTTAGTTAATCTTCCTATTACATTAGTTTTCATTTATCTTGAAACAGTTTGACTCACAAGTAGTTGCAAAAATAATACAGATTCAGAGCCCCTTTACCTAGCCTATCAGATGATGATATCTTATGTGATAGTATCTCACATAAGCATAGCTCAGCATCAAAACATGGCCATCAGCATGACACATTAACTCATGAGTAAAGTTTACTTTGATTTTACCACTTTTTCTGAGTGTGTAGTTCTATAAATTTTATAACACATCTAGAGCCCTGTACTGTGTTATTGTACAGCAACTGGCATTCTCCAGAACATGGCCACGTAATTGATCAGTGGAGCTGCTGTCAGTTAGCAGGAAAGGCGGTCGGCACCATGGAAAGGACATTGGACTGGGACTCAGTCCAATGGGTCATTTCTCTGTGGAGTTGGCATTGAAAACATTTCTATCACATTCAGATCTTTGAGGAAATAGTGCCCCAAAATGAATCTGGCCTGAATTCTGGTTTGTATTTTGGGAGATTGGTCAATTGGTTTTTGAAGTAGATGACTTAACAGTGCTGGCCTATGTCTCCCAACTCTCTCAGAGGCACCACCAGAGTGCCATCTGTGGGTGCTTAAGGTGGCACTAGTGTCTGCTGGACCTAGGTCATGGGCTGGCTCTGCCCCTTTGGACATGTTCACTAGGCATTCTGGGCCTCAATTATCTGTG